AGATTGTTGAGGCTGCGATACCCCTGTCAGGCACAAAGTGCGAACTTACAAGAGCCCATGACAGGATATTTCACAAACATAAAATTTCATAGGGGGATTTCGTTTTACCCACATTGTTTATTGGTATTTTAGGAAATGCGTGAACTGTCACGACTATCTCTCATATTTCCCTAAAATAAAAGATGTGGGTTAAGCGGAATAACCCTTGAAAAATCATGCCCTTGTATTTGAATCTTTGTAATCCATGTGTTTTAGGAGCGTCCACTAACTGTTAGACCACACCAAGCATCGTGGCGCAGCCCGGGGCCGTGGCCCACGTGCCATTGAGTAACACAATTTTCGATCAATGTGCGACAGTGTGGGATATCTAGCAACCGTGCACAATGTGTGACAGGGACGACTTTGGTTTTCTCACTGGTTTCCCATTGCTATAGGGGCCCCGCGTCACGGTGAACTGGAGGGTTGGGAGGCGCGAACCAGTGTAGTGTACCATGCATTATTTTTTATCGTAAAAGTTACGTGTCAGTGGACACAACCAAGAAGTGTTGGAATGCAGACCACATTTGGGGCATACGAAAATTTCTCTTTGTATGTAGAGTATCAAAACTTTATATATTATATTTGTCAAGTTCTTTTATTTATTTTTGTTCCTTATTTCTTTGTTTTTGTCTTTCTTTTTCGGTCTTACAAGTTTTTGCCATGCTTTTGATTAACTATCGCCAACATCGAAGATAGGTGGAGAATGGAGTGATCGAGGGTAGAAGGGGTGAAGAGCAGTCGAGGGCAGAGGTGTATGGGTTGTTCACGTTTGGTAGTCACAAGTGAGCGAAATGTGTCGCGCACGTGGGCACGCTGTGCAGCGGAGCATGTTGAACAAAGAGGATTTCACAACATGTGCGAAAAGTGCATTACGACAAAGAGTGGGTTTGTGGACTTTTGCTGACGACGCAGGGATGCTCATCTGATCGACATGGCAGTTGTGTCCTCTTGGTTTTGATGCTTTTCGAGTTCGCTATTAACCATGGCCACCATCAACTAAGGTCATAGCCTCGAGGTGTGATTGTTGGATGTTTGTGTTGGTGATGATGTCCAAGTTTGTTCGAGTCGGTGATGATGTCTAAGTGTGGGAGGGCCCCCACGTTAGAGGATTCTATGTAACCGCCGTAAAAATTATCATGGTAGTTTTATAATCGACCCGTTGCACAAAGAGGATTTCACGCCGTTTGGGAAAAATGCATGAGGAGAAACAACATGCTTGTTGACTTTTGTCTATGGTGCAGGGATGTTCGTCTACCAGCTGCAGGCTTCGGTGAAGAAGTACGACGGACAATCTCACAAAGCTTGTCATTAACAAGTTTGTTATCAACCGAGGTTGTCATGAAGCTAGGTCATAGCTTTGAGGTATCATTGCTGGATAGACCATGTTTTGTTTTTGGATATTGTTTTGAATATGGTGAAGTGTGGGGGCTTGTTGACTTTTATCGACGTCGAAAGGATATTCGTCTGACAACTTGAAGTTGCAGGCTCCGGTGAAGAAGCATGGTGCACAGCCTCAATTGAGGGCGTCATCAACCGAGGTCATAGCTTTGATGCGTCATTGGCTTTGAATATGTCGACCCCCCATGTCCAAGATACGACTGTTGACTTCCGCTCACGGAGCAAGGATGTTTGTCCCACAAGCTGTAGGCTTTAGAGAAGAAGTATGGCGGATAGTAGCCTCATAGAGTTTGTCATTAACAAGTTCGTTGTTAGCTAAGGTTGGCATAAGCCAAGCCATGGTGTTGAGGTGTCATTGTTGGACTGATCATGCTTTGAGGAATCGCTTCTCTCTCTCTCTCTCTCTCTCTCTCTCTCTCTCTCTCTCTCTCTCTCTCTCTCTCTCTCTCTCTCTCTCTCTCTTTTTCTGTGTGTGTTCCCCGATAAATATGACGGTGGACGAGACAAAGACAAGGGGCTGTGAGGTAATGTTTTCTGCAGACGTGCGGTTTTCTACGCAAGGCTATTTCGGGGGATGAAATTGGTTGAGACGGGATGACCTGGTAAATTGCATGAATGCCCCTGTTTTTTTAATCTTTTTCAAACTTGAATGATGGTTGGTCCGGTCCCACGACGGCTGATACTAGATCGCGCCTCAGCGAGCGTGACAAATAACTGTTTCCATAACTTCTTTCTTGTTCTGCTGTGGAAAATCGAAATTTTAGCACGATTGTCGCGCAGGAAAATCGTTTTGAATTTTCAACTGATGTCGAGCCCCCGCGGGCTCCCGGACTTTGCTTCGTTTGGATTTTCTTTTGGCAATTAGGATTTAGATTAAGGAATTTGGTCGCATCTCAATCTCTGTTGCGCAACGCTTCCTGCTTGCACACGCTTGGCCGCATCAGGATCTGTGTTCTAACTTTTTCACGTCTTAATCTCGCATGTAACTATAATGTTTGTTTTGGCGGGCATGATTGCAATTGTAATCCTCTCGTTCTTGATATTTTTTGTGGCACCCCTGCACCCACATACTTCTCCCCCGTCTTATTGGCCTGAACGCTTGCATGACCAGATCGATGTGTGGAGCGTGGCTATGTCCCCCATGCCGCGGCCTGGCCATGTTGACGTAGGCACTTCCTTCCTCCCACCTAAACACAATCTCGAGTATCTCGCGCAAAATATGCATGCTATAAATTTCGCAAGCACGATTAATTCACTCTCTAAACATTCCGGAGTTAGCGCGGTTGAGAGGATCGGCTAACGAGCTAGATTTTGATTTTGGAAGGTGAGTAGAGAGTTGGGCGATCCAACGAGCTGGTGCTGGGCATGCGGGGTTGACGTGGGGCCGTGACGGACTGTGGCACACGGACGAACCTGGCTGGCATGCTCGGACTAAGCGGGGTGACAACTCTGTGTAGGTGCGAGGAGACGGACTGCCACCCGCATCGGGGTGATGAGAGAGAGAGAGAGAGAGAGAGAGAGAGAGAGAGAGAGAGAGAGAGAGAGAGAGAGAGAGAGAGAGAGAGAGAGAGAG